TGGGAAGGTAAACACAAGGCTAGATCATGCTTCATGCCATAGAGTGCCCCCAAATCCTTGGGTGACTGATGCGTCCTTAGTAGCACTTAAGGGGTCTGTCTGCTTGTCTCCAGAAATATCAGTAAGGCATGTATGTGCCCTAGACTTCCTGGACACTCGAATTGGCAGGGTCACTTCTGACATCCTAATTCCTCCTGTATGGTTGGCAGTGGGAGATGTATGTGCTATGTTCAGGCTACATACAGCAAAGACCTGAGAACACTACCTGTTTTCAGTTTGACAAGACAGTGTGTTGACCTGTTAGGACCTCCCCTGGGAAGAAAGCCAGTATATCTACCCTACTGGAAAATCAGTAGATAAAAGTGATTGGCTTGTGATAGGGGCCATCTTACTCAGGAAATGCTAGCTTTGAGCTGCCAGAAGCCAAAATGAGGTACCTGGGAAGAGATCTGTTACTTGGCATTATATATCAATCCCTGAGGGTGAACTGACTTTGGTGCCAGGCTCTATGAATGCTAGGCAAGTAAATTCTCTTTACCTTAGTTATATATTCAGTCTGATAGCGCCCTCCCTATTTGTTTTGTAGACAGGGTGTAATTTGTAGGCCTGAATGTGAGCACGGTATGGTCTTTGAGGAGAGGCAGTCAGACCCATGTAACTGGAGTTGTAGCAGTTGTAAGCCACCTTGCAGGGCAACCCGAGCGCTCTGCCAAAGAGGTGCTTTTTTTTAGCAGGAGTCATTGCCTGTCCCAATGTGTAGGGGGACAGTTCCCCTGAACAGTTCATCCTGTACAGGGATCCTTGCCAGACCCTGGCTGTGGGACCAGGCCGGAGTTCTGTGGGATACTGGTGTGCTTGGGAAGGGATGCCACCCACCTATCAGACATTGGCCTTCTAGGCACTGCTAATGCCCTGGGGGAAGGTCTGAGGTAGTTAATCATTGTCAGCTCTGGGCAGCAGGTCTGCCTGGATATGTGTAGGAAGAGGGCACCACTCCTGTCTGGCTTCTGGTGACCCAGTTAGGGCCTGTCTGAGGGACTGAAGTCCAAGGCTGTGTGAGAAAACCCACCACCGACCCGCAGGAGGCCATGCATGTCCTTGCTTTAGGGCTCTAACTCCACACCAGCTCATATGGTCATATGGTTACTGTATGGCTCCCCCTCACAGTGTGCCTTGAGGGTGTGAACCCTCAAGTGTCCCGCTAGGGTTCAGCCTCCCACTCACGGCAGGCCACTCAGATTGCTTAGTGACACTGATGGTCTGAGGGGAAATGCTTATTCTGAACACATTCCAGCAGCCTTCCTGAAAGTCTGCCTTTCTGGCCTCAGGAACTGACCACAGTCAGCCATTTTATTCTACCAAGCCATGGTGCTTGCTGATGGGACTGGATCAGACACTTCCCTAGCCTGGGGATCAGAAGACAATCCTTGAGTTGAGAAAAAAAGTCCAAGTGCTGTGGAGCAAGTTGGGTGGAAGAGGCTCATTTTCTGTTCGTAAGGAACAGAATCTTTTTGTAAGAACAGTGAATCTTTAATGTGCAGATTAATCAGCCAAGGATCTTGATAAAGTTTAAAACCCTGGTGGAGCAGGTTAGTTAGGTTTAGCCTGAGACAGATTGTAGCTAAAGCCTGCATTATCAAGTCCAAGATTGGCTCTGGCTCTGGCTCTGGCTCTGGCTCTGGCCTGCAGTTGTAATGAGGTCCACATACCCCGTTTGGGGAGAGCTCATGCTTGGGCAAGTATAAAGGAGGCAGTGTGGGCTCCCTTGAATGAATTGCAAATATACCCCTGGGCAATTTGGGGCCTGTTCATCCTGAGCTACACAGTGCCCCCTGGTGGGTAAGAAGCATGTCATGTACTCTGGCAGCAGCACTAGGTGCTGCTTCTGCTTCTAGAAGGTTCGTCTGGTCGATAGCTTTTCATGGTGATGTTGAGCAAGGAACAGACCAGAAAACCAGATTGGCAACTAACTGCTCAACAGGCAGAGTTCCTGCACATAAGGGTATGTGGTAGTGATCCTTGGGCTGTACAGCGTGAACACGGGATGAAATTCCAGGCATGATGCAACCTGGTGCCTGTGGATAACTGTAAAATCAGTTCAAAGGTAGAAACTTATAACAGTATGCATGCCTTTAATTCTGATCTAGCATAGCACTCAGGAGAAAGGCAGTCAGGACTACAAAGAAACCCTATATCAAAGAAACAAAAGACACAACAAACTAAAAAAACCAAACATTTGCGTGCGTGCGTGTGTGTGTGTGTGTGTGTGTGTGTGTGTGTGTGTGTGTAGACTTGATATATCCAGTTCTCATGCCTGAGATTTGTAGTTAATATATTTCAGTGTCAAAGGGGTGGGCGCACACCATTTGAAGGCGCAAGCCAGGGCACAGTCACGCCTCCAATCTCAATACTTCTGAGGCTGACTGCTATGGGTTCAAAGCCAGCCTGTACTGTCTAAGGATTCTTGGATACAGTAGAATCTGTCTCTGACAGAAAGAAAAAGTAAACTTAATGTTCGTTTCCTCGGGGGATAAAAAGCATGTTTTGTCTATTTGATTCACATAATTTTACTATTTAAAAAGATTTATTTATTTTGATTGGTGGGTGTTTTGCCTGCATAGATGTCTGTGCACAATGCCTCCCCTGGAACTGCAGTTACAGAGGATTGCGTGCCACCATGTGGGTGCTGGGTCCTAGTCCTCTGCAAGGAGTGGCAAGCCAGTGCTCTTAACCACTCAGCTATCTCTCTATCTCTTTTAATTATTTATCAGGGTCCCATGATGTAGCCCTGGCTGTTCTGGAACTTGCTATGTAGACTAGGCTGGTCTCAGATTCATAGGAATCTGCCTGCTTTTGCATTCTCATTTCTGGGATTTTAATTTTAAGTATGTTTCACTATGTGGTCTGTTTTTGTTTGTTTGTTTGTTTGTGTTTGTTTGTCTTTTTTTCCCCCCAAGGCAGAGTTTTTGGGGTAATTATCCTAGAACATGGTAGATCAGGCTGGCTTTGAACTCAGAGACTGCCCTGTCTCCCGACTGCTAGGGTTAAAAGTTTGTGCCACCAAGCCTGGCTCATGCGCCGCCACTACACAGCTTCAGCTTGAACACTTGAGACGGTTTCTCTGTGTAGCTTTGGAGCCCTTCTGCAACTCTGTAGACCAGGCTGGCCTCTGACTCAGATCTAAGGCGTACCCCACTGTCACCTGGCTTTGACTTTTGAGGCTATGTTCCTTAGCTTACCAGATTCTTGGATTACAAATGTGAGCAACTATGGATAGCTTTAATTTTCTCATAGTAGTAAAAATTCTCTAAGAGTTTGGCTATGCAAATATTTCATTAACCTAGTTATTCCTTTTTTTTTTTTCATTTAATTTTTGGTTTCTCAGTGTAACACCTGCCTGTCCTGGAAGTTACTCTTTAGACCAGGCTGGCCTTGAACTCATCCTGCTTTTACCTCCCTAGTGCTGGGATTACAGGCATGGGACACCACTATCTGGCCACAATTTTTTTTTTTATCTACTTGTGTGTACACTTGAGCTTCTATGTATGAGAGGAAATGCAGTGAGCTTGTATGTATCAGAGGAAATGCAGGAGTTTCTCCATCATGTGGGTTTGGGCATTGAAATTAGTTTCCAAGTCTTCATGGCAAGCACCTGTACTGACTGAGAACTTGCACCTGATTTTTCGATTTTATTGTTTCTTTTTTTTGTTTTTTGTTTTTTTGAGACAGGGTTTCTTAGTGTAGCCTTAGCTGTCCTGGAACTCACTGGAACTCACTCTGCAGACAAGGATGACCTTGAACTCACAGAGATCCTCCTGCCTCTGCCTCCTGCGTGTGCCACCACTGCCTGGTCCTTATTGTTTCATTTTTAGAGTCGGGGCCATCATAATTTTTTTGCAGTGCTGGACTTCTAACTCTGGTCCTGAAATGGCCAGGCAAGCATCGCACATTCTCAGCATCCTTTGTCTTTTGAGGCAGCTTTTCTTGTTGACCTCAGATTCTTTTCAGGGGCACCACTTCTGTAGTACAGAATGGCGCACAGTTGTCTGTTAGAAAGATAGAAAGGTGTGTTTCTGTTTTGTTTTGTTTTCTTTTCTTTTTTTTGGTGGGGGTTTGAGACAGGATCTTACGATGTAGCCCTGTGTGTCCTGGAGATCCATCTGCCTCTACCTCTCCTGAGTGTTGTTGATTCATGGCGTGTACAGGTTACCCGGACAGGTACAGATTCTTAAATGTACATATGCCTAATTGGTGCTCATAGTGTTGTGTGAGTCAGGGCAAGGGTCACACAGTCTTAGCTAGATTACTAGAGAGACAGCAATAGGAAGACCAAGTCCTGTGTGTGGGGCAAGGCCATAGCTGGTCAGAACTGTCAATCCTGGTGACCGCCACAGCCTTTTACCACTGCTTTTTCTACATCCCTCCCTTCAGAACTTGGGACTCACCCCTCCCAATGAGGGAGGGAATGAGTGACAGGCCAACTGACCAATGGGGCCCAGAGGGTGGGCTGGGGTGGGTCTTGTGCTGCTGAGAATCCTATGTGAGAGGCGGGGCAAGGGGAAGGAGACCTGGAGACAGCAAACAAAGGGGTCATGATGGAAAAGAGTGAACTGGCTTCTCAAGGCTCTGCAGAGGCTGGGCAGGGAAAAGAGAGCTAGGCTGGCTCTAGGGGCCCAGGTAAGCATGCCCTAAGTGGCATTGTCTGAAGTACTGGCCAATTGTAGTGCAGTCCTTGTCTCAGACTCCAGCCTTAGCACCAGCCTCCTCGTCTGTCTTGGGACTTTGAGCCCACCTAGCCAGCCACATTGAACCAGGTCCTGGGCCTCCAAATTTGATGAGCCTCCAAATTGGGAGGAGTCTGGGAATATGGACAGGATATTAGTCTCGGAATATGTCGTGGGGTCTCTTAGGCTGAGAATAGAGAACCTGGATATAAAACTTGGAATATGCAGCCCCTTCATGCCCCCATTCCTCCTACTTACCCTGATCTTTTCTCCCAGGAAACAATGAAGGGAGACAGCAGACATCTGAATGAAGAAGAGGGCGCCAGTGGGGGTGAGGAATGTGTCATTGTCAATGGGAACTGTAGTGACCATTCCTCAGACACTAAGGATGCTCCCTCACCCCCAGTCTTGGAGGCAGTCTGCGCAGAGGCAGATAGCACACCAGAGAGCAGAGGTGAGTGTCGGAGCTCTGACACTGCAGGCTCTGTAATTGGTCTCAGCAGAGGCTGGCTCATTGGTTATCTTCTGTTGATATGGGCTTCATCATGATCAGGAGATATTGCCGCCTTGCCTCTTCCTCTTAGAAGCTCCCAGGCTACCTGAAAGTCCTCCCCTACTGGTTTGGAGTCCCCTGTATTGTCCCTTCTTGTCCTTGATATCTACAGTGTCCTTTAGTACATTCTGAACCGGGTAAACGTGGCCTATTTCCCTGTTCATCCCAAGAGCTGTTTCCCATGGGAACGCTGGAAATGTAAAGGAATGGGCTCCCCTTCTTCCTTAGATATTAATGCTTAGCTTGTGGAGGAAGGCAGAAGCCAGGCCCTCTATCTTTTTTCCCAGTGAGCTCATGGAACTGATGAGGGACACTGGCTTCCTAAAATGACTGGTTTGGGGTTGGCCCAAGATGGCCCTCTCCAGGCTGGTGACCACTGTCCTACTTCCCAAATGTGGACTCCCAACTCTTCCTTTCAGGCCGCAGATCAAGTTCAAGGCTGTCAAAGAGGGAGGTCTCCGGCCTGCTGAGTTACACTCAGGTATCACCTCTTCTCAGCATGTGGTTTTGCACCTTTCAGTTTAGATTGCATGAGAAACCAGACAAATGAAATTCTTTACTGCACCGGAAATTCTTTCATTCCTTCCTGTATATCTGAAATTATGTCTCCCTATCTGTCATCAGTATGCTAATAGAACAAAACTCAGTTGTTTTTGGGACGGGTTCACCTAGGCCATGGTTTGTTTGGTGTTTGCTTGTTTGAGACAGTTTCTGGTGTCTTACATGTCACTGGAAGCCAGGGTGGCCTTCACAGATCCCTTGTCTCCTGTCCTCTCACTTGTGTTGTGACTAAGTTGAATGAGTGCCTGGCAGGCAGCATTTTCTTAACTTGCTGGTGATCTGAGATTTCTCTTTTCAACCCAGTTTGAATTTGTGAAGGAACATGTGATTAGCAGGTGTGAAATTTTTAGTAGAGAAAAGCCAGGTGATTGTAGGATGTAGTTTGGGTACTCCTAGGGTAATGTCTATGTAATGATGCTTCTGTACCATTGCTTCCCTTACATCATCCTTTTTCCTTTACCATAGGACCTGACAGGAAATGGAGATGATGAGGCAGAGGATGGGGACGGCGATGATGTCCTACTGATGCCAAAGCTCACACGCGAGACCAAGGAGACCAAGTCATTCTCTGAAAGCCCGGCTGTAAGTCCCACCATTCCTGGGCCTGCATAGAAAATAAGGCTTAGACAATTATTTAAACAAATTTTTGGACACATTTGATTTTATGTGTGCTGATGTTTGTAGGCGAGTTACAACACATGAGAATAGGTTATACTTCCAGCTGGAGATTCCAGGGACCAAACTCAAGGATCAGCAGGCTTTGGCAAGTCCCCTAATCCACTGAACCCCTTAGTTAAGTTTTGATGTCCCCCAGCCACAGCAGGATAATTCAGATCATAACCTGAACCTCAAAGTAAAAACAGGATTTGCCAGAGTGGAGAGTAGATGAGCTGTGTCCGTTTGACACACTGAGCATGGCACCAAAGGCTTGATGAACTAAACCACTTAACTTTTGGTTATCGTCAATTTTCTGACTTATATCTCATTGAGGAGGCCTTTATAATTAATCATTTGCTTTCCCCACTAGAACTCCAGGGTACTGAATTAATGTCACCAATGTGGCCACAGGCTGTATGATCAGGTCTAAGTGCAGATCCCTGCTGATGCCAGGAGATGAGACTTAGCTTGGGTGTGTGGAACTCCTGCAGCACTGGTGCCTGGGAGCTGGAGGCATGACCAGTCTTCAGGGCATGGTTGACCTGCCTCTCTTGTGATGCATTGCAGACATGCACCTCACACCTGGTTACAGCTCAGCTTAAAGCCAGAGCTTATACGAAATAAGCGTTCTAGCAGTATAGCTGTATTCCACCCTTGATCAGAGAGGAATAATACCATCTCAAACAAAACAAAACAAAACAAAACAAAAGAAACATACACCAGTCAGAACAAAAAACAGGCAAAGAGTTGCTGCTACTGTAATATCACCGTCTATGAGTTTGTACTCCCCTCATTGTACACATAGAAGATTTCCAGTTACTTTAACTCTGTTTTTGAACTTGGCTTTCCTACATCAGTCTTTTTTTTCTCATGCGCATTGGTGTTTTGCCTGTGTATGTGTCTGAGGGTGTCGGTTCCCAGGAACCAGAGTTATAGACAGTTGTAAGCTGCCACGTGGGTAGTGGGGATTGAACTAGGTCCTCTGAAGAGCAGTCGGAACTCTTAGCCATTGAGCCATCTCTCCTGTCCCTATGACATGCTCTTAAATGGTGGGATTACAGGCAGATGATGCCACACTAACCATCAACTGTTGTATAGAATTTGAATAAATGGTGGTCACAGGCAGGTTCACACCACTCTGAGCAAACTGAGCTTTTCTGATGTGTGCCCCATCCCCAATGCTTTCCTAAATAAGCCAGCATTTTCAGACTTTGAGCCTTTTGGAATAATGCTTGGCTTAAGGTGAGTTGTGACCCCTTTTGGAGGTCGAATGACTCTTTCACAGGGGTCGCATATTAGATATCTTGCATACCAGATATTTATGTTACTATTCATAACACCTTCAAAATTACAGTTATGAAGTAGCAACAGAATATTTTTATGACTGGGGGTCACAACATGAACTGTATTAAAGGGTCACAACCATTAGGAAAGTTGAGAATCACTGGTTTAAGGCAAACAACTGCTTAGTCTCCATGTGCTGCTGCCAGGTAGTCAAATCTGTGCTGTGACATGGGACTCATGTTTATACCCAATTGTCTTCTTCACTTCAGGTTGACTTGAGGCTTCCTTAAAGAGCCTTTGGGAGCCTTCATTAGTTCCCCTGCATCTAGTCACCTAAGGTCCAGTGTTTATCATTTCTTACTTTCAGATGCGAACCCGAAATAACAACAGTACCTCCAGCCTAGGGAGGCAAAGAACCTCCCTCAGAATCACCCGAGGCCGCCAGGGCCGACACCATGTGCAGGAATACCCCGTGGAGTTCCCAGCTACCAGGGTTGGTCCTGTGGGTTTGGAAAATTTGCTTCACTCACTGCACAGCATTGACTGTTGTGTGGCTATAACCTATGCTTTCTTCACACGCTCCTGCCTTGTAGGCTCTGGCTTCTTTCTTTCCTTACTCATCATACTTGGAATTACTTTGAGGGGGCAAGAGGTCTCTGACCCACCTTGGAGCTGAGCTGAAAGCCACTGGCGTCTACCTTGCATGTCTCTCATGTCTTTTCCTGCTGTCTTGAGGCAACCCCAGCAGGTTCAGAATATTCCACATGTGTTTCCAGATGCACAGGAGCCAGTTATGCAGAGACTCCATCTTCTCTGAGCTCAGCTTCAGATCCTCTCTGGTCCTTCCCTGTCATCACATTCATACTGTTTTTTCTGTCTCCTACCTGGGGTCGAGTGGCTGCCTGTCCCTGTAACCTTGTCTTCTGGGGAGCTGGTTTGTTCTTTCACTCTCGATTCTCAGGGAACCTGTTGGATACTGTTTGTGTATCCTCTTCTGCTTTGCTTCACTGGGTCTCCATCTCGTGCTTCTACTATAGTCTCGGAGGCGTCGGGCATCGTCAGCAAGCACGCCATGGTCGTCTCCTGCCAGCCCTTCCCTCGTAGAAGAAGGGACACCTCAGAACAGCAGTACCCCATCAATTGACTTGAGCCAGGACATCTATCAGGAGGACATAGACACTACACAGCTGGAGGCAGAAGGCAAAGATGGAGACAGCACTGAGTACCAGGTACCACTGAGAAGGGAGCCCAGGTTTGCACGAGATCCAAAGTACAGGGGAAAGAAAACTGTAAGAATTAGTGACTCAGTGCCCCCACCCCTCGGCTTTGGTTTTTCAAGGTGGTTCCTCTGTAACAGCCCTGGCCGACTTGGAACTTATCTTTGTTCCAGGCTGCCCTCAAACTCACGGAGATCCTCCTGGTCTGCCTCCCAGGTGCTGGGATTTTATTTATGTTTAAAAGATTGTGTAAGATTGTGTTATAACATGAGGCAGAGGCAAGTCTGATCTACATAGAAGTTTCATGCCAGGGCTATATAGTGAGCCACTGTCTCAAAAAAAGATTTTGTGTAACCAAGCATAACCTCCAAATCTTTGTTTTACCGAATGCTGGGAATATAAGCATATGCTACAGGAATTTCTGTTAATTTTGCTAGAGTTATAATCCAAAGACTTTCCAAACACAGTATGGCCTTTTCTTTCATATCTCCAGCCCCGCTATGGGCTTTTTTATGTTTTCATAACTTATTTTTCAGCTCAGTGACCTGGCTCAGTGGCATAAAAGAATGGTATAAGAAAGACACTTGGTACCAAGTGTCACCTGAGTTCAATCCCTGAGACAAACATGTGTATTGCATGCATACAGTCAGATATGGATACAACTATACCAACTAAAAGTTAAAAAAAATCCATAAAAACATTTATTTTTCCTGGGCCCCTTTTTGTACACCACTGAGCTATTTCTCAATCTCAGTACATCACATTTTATGGCCAGCCTTTTTTTTTCTTTTTTGTCCTTGGTCAGGGTTCACCTGCCTTGGTGACTACAATTCTTCCTGTTGGTTCTTCTTCCAGGATGATAAGGAGTTTGGAATAGGCGATCTTGTGTGGGGAAAAATCAAAGGATTCTCCTGGTGGCCTGCCATGGTGGTGTCCTGGAAAGCCACCTCCAAGCGCCAGGCCATGCCCGGCATGCGATGGGTACAGTGGTTTGGTGACGGCAAGTTTTCAGAGGTGAGTCCTGTGGTGAGGTGGACTCTTCCTACCAGAGGCCTTGCTTCTCTTGGGGTGGCTTTGAGGTCAACATTCTGCATCTAGATGCAGTAAGTTTATCACTGGGACTGGAGTTAAGCAAAACACTTCTTGTGTTACTTGTCTGGATCAGACATAAGCTACTATATTCTTATGCTTAGTGACAGGGTCTCATTGTAACTCTCTGGTCTATGACTCACTATATATAACAGGCGGCTTTGAACTCAGTTATTCCTGACTCTGCCTCCTGAGATCTGGGACTCAAGGTGGGTGCAGCCTGTCTACCTGGAAAGTAAGGAAGCAGGGTGCCCGCAATTGCATGGCACTCTAGTATCAGGTCCAGTGCCATGCTTTGCCTTCTGTGGGTACCCCCCCCCCCACAAAACAGGTATTGTGAAACACACCTTAAACAGATACAGAAGCTGCATAAAGAAACCCTTTCTCATTAAAAACAAAACTGTATTAGCTAGATAGGTTCTCCCATCCCATCAGCCCTTATTTGAATCTTACCCGTTAAACACATAAGATCTACTTTAAAATAGTTCATCAAGGGTGACAGTTGCGCATGCCTCTAATACCAGCTTTTGGGAGACAGAGGCAGGCAGATTTCTATGAGTTCGAGGCCAGTCTAGTCGACAGAGGGAGTTCCAGGACAACCAGGGCCACACACAGAAACCCTGTCTTGAAAAACAAAAGAAAACAAAAATAGCAAATATATGAAATCAGCCCTGCTACGGTAGTGTACACCTTTAATCCCAGCACTCAGGAGGCAGAGGCAGGTTGAACTCTGAGTTCGATGACAGCCTGGTCTACAGAGCTAGTTCCAGGATAGCCAGGGATGTTACACAGAGAAACCATGTCTCAAAAAAAAAAACAAAAAACCAATTTTTTTTATCAGTATAGGTTTATTTCTGTACATCATGGGAGACCAGAGGAAGGGCTTCAGATCCATAGATCCTGTGGTTCTTGTGTCTGGGATTAATGACAGTCATGAGCTACCATCTGGGTGCTGGGAATCTAACAAAGTCCTCTAGAGGAGGAACCACTGTGCTCTTATAACCCCTTAACCAGCCCTAGTAGTGTTAGGCTGATTCCCAGCCACAGACAAGATGAAATTCCTGAGGTACAGCATGCAGGTGAGCGAGGTAGCATTTAGGACTTTGTTGCATTTAATATTTTCTTCCCTACCAGTTGGAATTCTCTGACTTTTCCTGAAGTGGATCCAACATTTCCTGAGTAAGAATAATAGGACATTCAATCTGACCTGAGAGATTTCCTGCAATTGTCATGCCTCAACAGCAGAGGGAGCAGTAGTACCTTGTTGCTTGGGTGTATGTCTCTGAAGCATAAAGAAACAGGGACATTGTGGTTGTTTTGATTCAGTGAGACAATGTACTAACTTCTCAACAGGGTCAGATGGCAATAAGGGGTATCATGGAGATGGTGGGTTATAGGATATTGTTTCAATGTGCCATGGTCCTGGGAAAAGGCCAAGACCTGCTCAGAGCCTGTGTAACACTCATTGAGCGGCTAGAGCAGCTGGTACTTGTCACCCATGGTGGCACACCAGAGTTGAGTCTCAGCATAAGGTTAGTCTGAGCATGAAAGTAAGTACTTCCCCTGGGACATCCCATATGTCCTACATACGGTCACCTTCTTATATCTTCGCACTAATTAGAAATTCACCCATTTTTTTATCTGCATGAGGCAGTTTGCCATTAGTGATCAAGACATATAAGTGTTTGACCTCAGAGAAACTACAGGGAGTGCTCATTGGTGGGAGTCAACAGTTACCACGTACACCCGAGGTAAAGAACATGTTCAGATACATCAGGGACAGTTTTACGGACGTTCACACTGTTCACACAAATGTTGTGCACACATGGGGGAGACTCAGGATATATCTAATTTTGCTTCAATTATCCTTCTTACTGACATCTGGAATTTCTCAGCTGCCAAGTCTGCTCTGTGTGTTATTTCTCCTTTGCCCTTCATGTTTCAGTCCTGGCATCTGTCAGTTGTCACCGGATTGGCTCTGGGTGAGCCAGTGCACGTTAGGCTCAGATGTGAGTTAATGGTAATCTCATTTTTCTCTCCTAGATCTCTGCTGACAAACTCATGGCCCTGGGGCTATTCAGCCAGCACTTTAACCTGGCCACCTTCAATAAGCTGGTGTCCTATAGGAAGGCCATGTACCACACTCTGGAGGTAACATGGGTGCGGGTGCTAACTAGGCTGTTGCCCTGTGGGAGACAAAGCTGTTGGAGGTGTCCTTCAAGACTGGCTTGCAGGCAGAGTTACCAAGGAAGTGAATGGGGAAAAGGGTTCTGACCTTGGAATTTTAAATTGCTAATACTGATAATCAGGAAGACAGGATGATTCTTGGCTTGTGTCATCACATAATGAAACTACTAAAAAGGGCCTTTTATCGTGCTCTGAGGAGACAGTTTCTCTTACTATAGCTGTAGAATCATTATGCTCTTTGCTTATATCACTCTAGCCCTAACAGCCCTGTTGCCACCAAGAAAAGTGCCTAAATAATACGTACCGATTCGCTTGACCCTTGAAATAATGAATGCTTGGCTGCATCCCTTCAGAAGACATAACTCTGTTGGAGATGGGGATGGAACAGCCCGAGCCTTGCTTCTACCGTTTTTTTTTCTTTCATTATTGAGAAAGGATTTCCCAATAGCTATGGAGCCATTCATGGAACTCTCTCTGTAGACTAGGCTGACCTCAAAATCACAGACACCCATCTGCCTTTGCCTCCCAAGTGCTGGGATTAAAGGCATATGCTACTACTGCCCAACTTGCTCAGCTTCATCAATCTCTTTTTGTAGGGATCTGAAAATATCTAGATCACTATGTCTCTATTGTTTCTCAAAAGCAGATCCCTTTCACAATGTAGCCCAAGACAGCTGTCCAACTATGAAAGACACCAGTCTTTAGGGAATGCAGGCCCCAGCCAGAGGAATCCCTGGGATCACCTTGGCACATACCTCATCCGCTTGTTCCCATTCATGGACAGACATTGCCTTTATTTGTGTCTTGGCAGAGAGCCAGGGTGCGAGCTGGCAAGACCTTCCCCAGCAGCCCCGGAGACTCACTGGAGGACCAGCTGAAGCCCATGCTAGAGTGGGCCCACGGGGGCTTCAAGCCCACTGGCATTGAGGGCCTCAAACCGAACAACAAGCAACCAGGTGGGAGTAAATCTATACCACTGCGGATAGCCCTTAGCCACACTGGCGCAGCCCAGCATTCTCATTGGGCCAAGCAAGCAAGGCCTACTGTACCCTGTAGACCCCAGTGCTGTTAAAAACCTCTAACAACTTGAGGGCTATCTCCTGCCTTGTTAGGCTTCCCTGGCCATATTGTTGCCACGGGTGTGTGCAATTAATCTTTTCCAGATGTCCAAATTCACCCTTTACCTTTGTGGCCATTCTTACTTAAAATAAAAAAATAAATACCTTTTGCTACCTGCCATTTTGACACGTCTCTTATCTCCCTGAATATACCCATGATTCCACAGAACGAAGTGAAGTTTGGACCTGAACACCCCCTAATATAATGTTTTTGTTTTGTTTTCCTGCAAAAGTGGTTAATAAGTCGAAGGTGCATCGTTCAGGCAGTAGGAAGTTAGAACCCAGGAGACACGGTATTCCCTTACCATCTTTGAAGGTTCTGTTTTCCTCCCTCTATCTTGCAATCGCTTGGCATCTACAGGGTCACTGGAGAAGAATCAAGTCACCTAAGCGCCCTCTCCCTCACTCCCCACCCTCACTGACCCCAGGCTAACCACGGGTGCACAGCCTTCTACACTCTTTGGTTTATCTCACCGTCTGTCTTACTTCTGAACATTAATGACATGTACGAGCACTGGTAATTGTCACTCTATCATCAAAGGCTCTTTGAATTTTGGTGTTTTTAAAATAATATATTTATATTCGGAGACTTTGTTCAGGATTATAGTCTCTACTTCCTGGCTATCTCAGTGGTCATGTTCTAGAGACGGTCCTCATCATATACCCCAGGCTAGATTTTGGTATAGGAGTGTGTGTCATTACACTTCCTTATGGATTTTGATGGGTTTATGATTTTATTTCCTTGCCAGATCATGGTGGAACATGCCTTTAATCCCAGCACTCAGAAGTCAAAGGCAGGCAGAACTCAAGACCCAGCCTGCATAGCTAGTTCAAGGACAGCCAGGGCTACACAGAAAAACCCTGTCACAGAAGAAAAAATTATTTTCTTAGTTGGAGGAGTCAAATTGAATAATTTGTATTAGGAGTCAATTTAAAAACACTAGAATGTGAACCACATTAAAATATATTTTTAAAACAGGGTCTGAGGATAGCTCTCACTGTTCTAGAATCTTCTATGTAGATTTGGGTGATTCTGAACTTCCTGTCTGTGCTTTCTGAATGCTGTCACTAAAGGCATGTACTATCACACTCAGCAATAAAAAATCAATTTAGTAATTTTCTAGTATCTGTTTATGCATTGATCTACTTTCAAAATTATAATAGAAATTTAGATTTCAGCTTTTTAGTGATGTTTTAAGATATATATTGGTAATAGACATCACCGTATTAAATAATATTATATAATGTTGGCTAAAGTAGATTCCATTGATAATTTGGACGTGACTCTCAGTGTGAAATCCCGTCCTTATTGACAATTCAAATATTCAGTAGCTCCATGTTCCCGTTGGGCACTGTGGTGGGCATCACTGTAGGACCTCAGTTCCAGCTGTGGTCCAACATGTGCTCAGGGCTGGCCCTAGAAGGATGGATTCTCCTCCACACTCAGATGTGTAAGCCCCAGGAGCATGAGTCTGGCCTGCTTCCCATGTGGGAGGAACTTGGAACTGGCTTCTGCTCTAGGTTCCCCTCTGGGGCTCTCTACACCCATCACAGTCCCCTGCTCTAGATGCAGCTGGATCCCAGGCAAAGCAGGGTCTTGTCCTAGGCCTGCCTGGTCTCTCAGCCTTCGGTCAAGTCTGTCTGCTTACCTTCCAGAGAACAAAAGTCGAAGACGTACAACCAACGACTCTGCCTCTTCTGAGTACTGTCCCCCACCCAAGCGCCTCAAGACAAATAGCTATGGCGGGAAAGACCGAGGGGAGGATGATGAGAGCCGAGGTGATTTTTTTTTTTGGGGGGGGGTTGCGGGAGCTGAATAGTGCAGCAGCAGGAGCAGCAGGTCCTCAGGGGGTGCATGTACCTCAGAGGTGCATGGCTGCATGGGAAAGGAGACATCCCCACCTCATCTCACACCTGTCTCTCTTTCCTCCACAGAACGGATGGCTTCTGACGTTGCCAACAACAAAGGCAATCTGGAAGGTACTGTCCTCCCTTCTTGGGTGCTCCAGGCCTGCCTTAGCCAGGTTTTAATCCAGAGCCCTGGGCATTGACCTAGATCAGGACCACTCCTGTTCCCTGTGTATTAGTTCCTAAATTTATTAGACCAAGTAATAGGATTTCCTTCTATTTTTATCCGAATGTGAATTTGTCCCTGAGGTTACTGACCAGGAAGATCAGAGTAGGGGACAATGTTAGTTGCAGCATTTTGGCCAAGCATTGGTACCTTTAGCTTTCCGTGAATTAATTTACTATTGTCCCAGTAACTGCATTCCTTGCGTTCATTTTGGCCCAGAACCAACCAAATAGAGTTTTTGAATGTGTGAGAAACTCTCTATTTGCCTTCCCAACTTTCTTAGTGACTGTTGCTTAGTAGTGGGTGAGAAACTATGTCCCTGGACCTGGGAAGTGTTCAATGGTGGGGTCTTAGACAAGGCCCATGCTGTGTTCCTATTCCTACTGAAACCACACAAAGACACCAAATTGGTCTTGAGAAGTCTTAGTAGTAAGACTGACTACTATAATACCTGGTCAAGAAGGCTTGCGGCTGTCCTCTTGACCTAAGTGTCTGAGTACATAGACCGAGGGAACGGGTATGAGTAAACAGTGTTTTCTTCCTTCCTTCCTTCCTTCCTTCCTTCCTTCCTTCCTTCCTTCCTTCCT